GGTCTTAAATTTTGGGATGTTACACCCTTGGAATCTCAGGTTAGTGATCGCGTATTGTTGAAGGTCTCGCCTTAGAAGGGAATGATATGTTTCGGAAAACGTGGGAAACTAAAACCAAGGTACATGGGGCCATTCGAGATCCTTGCCAGGATCGGCCCGATAACTTACAAACTTCGACTACCACAAGAACTCAGCAACATGCATCCCATTTTTCATGAGTCCAACTTAAAGAAGTGCTCACCTGATGAGACCCTCGTCATTCCACTTGACGAGATCGAAGTAAACGTGAGCCTCCACTCCTTCGAGGAACCAGTGGAAATCATGGACAAGGAAGTCAAGAGAACAAAGCAAATCCGCATACCAATAGTAAAGATCCGTTGGAACGCCAAGCGAGGACCTGAATTTACTTGGGAACGTAAAGACCAGATGAAACAAAAATACCCACATATTTTCCCCAACCCTTGAGGACCCACTCGATATGCCAATTCCGAGACGAAATTCCTTCTAACGGGGGGATGATGTGACAACCGTCAATTTTGGTCAAACAAAGTCAATAAAAGTCAACCAAGTCAACTCGAATCGTATTAGAATTTTAGGAGGAATGTGATATCCTCTAAATGTTTCTAATGTGCTATTGAAAAATTATAATACAAAGTACCTCTCTGGTTGCCAATTATCGAAATAAAGTTAGTAACGTAACAACTCGATAATTCAATTATATATTATTTGGGTATAAATAATCTTCATAACACAATGTAGTGGAGTTTATAAACCTAATACTACATGGAAAATTCATAACAACGGCTACATATACAAATTTTTGGTGAATTCGTCACTAAATGCGACAAAGTTTATACCCGGCTAAACACCCAAATTTTTTTAACGAAACGAACTTAGAAATTCAACCTAACTTTCATGTAAAATATTATTATTTTTAATAATAATGATTTTTATAATAATTGAATTTTTATAATTCAAATTAAATATTTTATACATCCTTTATACCATATTTATTTTATAAAAACACCATCATTTTTATAAAAATACCAAAAGTTTATAAAGGTTTGACTTTTTTTTTATAAAAAGTCACTAGTTAATTAGGTTGTAGCTTCATCTTAAATGGACAACTACTTAAACCGTAGAGTAGTTTATCTTTAGTCCCATCCATGTCCCCCAGACCACCCCCCATAACCCACCCTACCCATCCCCCCCACCCTCCTTCCATCTCTCTCTCTCTCTCTCTCTCTTATACTTACGGCCGAAATGACCTTCCTTCACCACCATTCTCTTCATTTTTCAACTTCTTCTTCAAGAAAGAGCTCTCATCTTACATAGCTAAAATCTTCCAAGTGATTCTTGAGTTTTTGGTAAGTACTTCCTTCATAATCTAGTGATTCTACACACTTATATAATAGTTTCAATCCATTTACACACATTATCTTGTGTTACTGTTCATAGGATCTACAAATCTTCAAAGTGTTCTTCAAGTGTTCTTAACTTGAAACTTTCCATCTACAACCTTTCATTCATCAAGAAAACACACATAACATGAGTTTATACCCATTTATTTTTGAGTTTTCCAAGTTTTAGGGGGGGGGGGGGGGGGAATACAAGTAAACTCGTATAATAACTCAAGTTGTTATGCAAGATTCTTCTTCAAGTTGTGTAAAAGTATTATTTATATGAAATAATGTTATTACCTAGTATTATGAACATTTATGTGTGGTATGTTGTTTAAAATACAAATCTATGAAAAATGATTATAAACATTATATATGTTCTTGAGAAAAAGTCACAAAAACAAAACTATAAAAACTATGGTTTTTATGAACATAATATGACTTTTCTAGCAAAAACGGCTTTAACCAAGTTATTACATTATTTTTGTGGGATACAAATCAAAATATATTATTTTGAACATGTGTTATGAAACTAGTTAAAAATACCAAGGATTTGGTTTTACAAATAGAAAACCTTAAAAACCCACCATTTTTATGTAAAATAAGGGTTTTTCTAACGAAAATGGACATGACTAGGTTACCATACCATTTTTGTGAAATTTGATTTAAAATATCTTATTTTAAACATATAAGGTTAGTTCGACTTAATATCCACAAAAAGATAAAAATAAATTTTACAAGGTTTATGACTAAATTTTTACCGGTTAGTGACGTTAAAAATACCAAAAACTAGAAAATTTGGTTGTATCATACTAAATATTCTTATACTTGTGTTAGATGTAAAATTATATGATATAATATTTTAAAACATCTAAACATGCTAACTTTTATATATATATATATATATATATATATATATATATATATATATATATATATATAT